GCTTGCGGCTACGGCAAAAAATAAAAGTAGAACCCAAAATAAAAAAAATAAAGGATCTCAATAAGCTGAAGTGATCAAAGACGAGGGGACAGTACTTCAGTGAGTTTTATCAGTCCCTCCAACAAAAACGCTACTCACACACACACACACACACACACACACACACACACACACACACACACACAAGAAACAGCCGATTTCATGCCGGCAAAGTAAAACCGTGAGTTGACAACCTCGTATTCTCTCACGATGGAACAGCAGCGCGACTCCACCCGAGGCTTCACAAGGTAAAAGTTGACTTCTTCTTCAAGTTGAAGTATAAAGCACTTACACAGTAGGATGTGCACTATAAATGTACATGCACTAAATATACTTGGGTGACACAAGTGCAGAGTTCTTTTACTTTAGTAAGAACAGCAATGGCATCAAAATATACTTCAAGTACCAAAAGTGAAGCCTATAGCTCCACACAACAGCACAGCCCACTGTGTCCGTTTGATTGTCTCTCTGCATTGAGATGAGCTTTCTGTGTTCATGTACTGTGGCCATCACCCCTCAGAGAAGAGGGTCCCACAGCACATTCCAACATGACGCCCTCAACTTGCTGCGGTACAACATAACGACAGGGGATTAAACCTGCGAGATAACGGTGAATAAAGGCTCTGAAGTGAAAACATTTATAAATAGAGAAAGGCCGTCTTTCCCGTGACAAAGCTTTCACACGGCCACAAATAGCAGCCCGACACTTGCACGTACTGGAGGTGTAAACAGATCTGCTTTGACACTTGAGTCAGAGGTGGGCAATGAAGAGACTTGTGAGATTCAGGGAATTTGGCTGATATTCATTTATGGTATTACCTCCATGATAGGACATCGCGGCGTGGAATCGGTGCATTCCATGGAAAGAGCAGGCGTTCCTGATCATTTCTATGCTTGGCTTATAAACACCGGCACCCTCAATACGGGAGCCGTACATTTGAGATGCCGCCCACTCAGCGGCTCCAGCACGGGCGACGAGGACATAGTGCCGATGTCAGAGTGTGTCCATCTTTGCCTGCTCATTTACCGGCTGCGTTATCCGACTCTCCCAGCAGACGCTCTAAAAGGCCAGGCGCTTCCCCGCGACTTTAATGCCGCTAATTCCGTTTAATCACTCAACCAGTCATCACAGAACGTCTTAAATTACTGTCGGCTTCACTTGGCGTTGCCTCATCTCAGCCAGTGGCTATTACCAAAGGAGCAAATAAAAAAACATAACGTGTTCTCTTTTTTTTGGGGGGGGGGAGGAGAAGCTCCCTGGAGTTCGGTCGACACGGTAGTGCTAAGTACATGTGTGTGTGTGTGATCAATATGGATGATGCATCTGAGGCACCCCTGGGATTTGACCTGTTTTTTGTCACGGGGAAATCACACCCACACACTCACACACACTCTCTCTCTCTCTGAGTGAGCGAACACGCTAAATGGAGGACGCGTGATGGATTGGACTCCAGCGAGGGGACGAGCGTGAATGTGGAGCCGTGGAAAAGGCAACAAGGCCGAGCCGTGCGGAATGAAATTGCTTTGCCTTTTTCTTTTTTTCTTCTTATTTTTCTCCTCCGCTGTAACATAAATGGATAACATGTGAAGAAACACAGCGAGACAAAAGAGTTGTGACCGCGTTCCCGGGCGGCCGAGGAGTCCCATTCCACCGACCAGCGTCCCCCGACCCCGACAGGGCGAAGCCAATCAGCGCTAACACAGAGGCGGATCACGGGAACGTCACAACGGGCTGCTGCTCGCCGCTGGAACAGTGTGGGGGCGAGCCGAGCCCGGCCGCGCCTCACTGATCCACTAAGGACAGGAGTTTTTCATACACAACAACAGCTCTATCCCTCGTGTGTGTGTGTTTCTCCTTGCTTTGTGCTTGGATGTTTTTAATGCTTTTATGTGAAGCGCTTGATTTTCTTTGCTGTTGAATTGTGCTGTAGAAATGAAATTGCCTTGCTTTGTGCGTGTGTGTGTGTGTGTGTGTGTGCGCGCGTGTCCTATTTTGGAGAAGCTCTCAAAACTGTTTTAACGTAACAGACAAAGAGTTGAATTGATTTGAAAAGATGGGCATTTGATGCAGGTTTATTTGACTTCAAATGATTGCTAAAATGAACATAATTTGCACAATTGCTTCCATTTATAAATAGACAAATAGAACATCCTGAAATAGATAGAAAAAAAGACTCCTTTGAAGGTAAGGATGCTTTTCATCCAAATGCATGCAGTCCAAAGAGAGTTGTCCCACAAGTATTCATACTTTTATGTTTCTTATTCTTAAACTGCCTTGTTTTAATTTAGTGATGCAGCAAAAAACATGTAAAACCAAGCAGAAAGGAAAAGGACAGTTCTCGATAACAGTGGTTGGCCCTGAAGAACACTGACCTCCATCGGGCTTTGAGTGTGAACATTTCAGAATTGACCTACTTCAACATGTTTGGTCTAATAACTGGTCCTAATCGTGTTGTTTGAAACAACAGCTGGCAGCGCGGCAGCTTTGATGGCTCTTTCTATTTCCGGAGATCATTTGAATATGGGCAGGTGCACAGTCTTGTGCTTCCGATGTTTTCATTTAAGTAGGAAATTGTTTAAAAAATAATTTAACGTGGCATCAGATTTACTTAGCCTAGAGATAATATGACAATTGTTGGTTGAAAGTAGCTCAAATTTCAGCTGTTCAAATAAAATATGCCCTCTTTAAAGTTGGTCCGCTTGTTGCTCCCATAATCCCTTTCGTCCAAAACAGTGGTGGAAAACACCAGGAGCAAAAGTCTGTACGGCTGAGTTCACTGCAAGACAAAATAATGAGAGCATAAAACTCGGCATTGACTTTACTTCCAGGCTACTGGAGATGGAGATATATTTCAACTGAATCGGATTAGTAATTCTCTAATTAAGCAGCTTATGACAGAACATTGTGTTGAGTTCTCAGTGCTTTTGAACTGCTGAAGAAATCAACTTCTTTAAATCAATGACGGTGAATTTAACCCAAACCCCCCTCAACGAAGGAGACCCCCGTCCCTACATCAGCTTCCGTCGGCTCCAATGATCACTGAAGAATGTGTTCATTCTGTGCCGCATTCGAGATACTCGACTGAAACTTCAAACCGAACTCCCTCTGCTCAAAATGAACACCCACGCAGCTTTTGTGTTGAGGCAACACGATCGTCCACGCAACAACCATCTGTCCAGAGACATCTGTGGTAATCAATTATCTTTCACTTTTCATAAGATTGCTGTCTAGGATTATCTCCTATCCATGTTCTCACTGCACCTCATCCAGCAGCACAGAGTGGCAGTGTGCCACTTTGATGTTATTCGGCTTTGTTGAACACTCTGTTCCAATTGACCATTGAAAGGTAATGTGAGGTCTGCCCAGACGTCTCTCTCATCACTTTACGCCACGAGCGTCTGGTCCATTTTGTTGATTTGACTTCATATGAGCTTACTTTTACCTCAAAGCTGTTTACTGATGCAGACAGATTTGGTTTAAAATGAAAGGGTCGGATTTATCTGTTGTGTCAAATAATGGATGCCTTTTGTAAGTAGCCTTAGCTAGAGCATTTTATAGGGGCAAATCACGACAAACACAGATGAAGTCATTCCGAAGATAGATCCTACCGGAAACGACACAGCATGTGGCTCAGCATAGGTTTCCCTCATTAATATTAGTCTCAATGTTTGTTATTTTTGTATTATAATTTGATAGGATTGACCAGCTGAAGAAAGGCCCTCACCTCTCTTGTGTGAATGGATTCATAAAAGTCAGCTAGGAAAATCCACGCATACAAAACAGTGACTGTGCATGTGTTGTCGGCTCCTCTGAGTCGAGAGAACAAAAACACTTAATATCCGGGAGTTCAACTACGCTGTTTTGCATCCCTAATTGAATTTACCCAATTGCACTTTGGAAGAAATCCTAAATGTATTCTGCTTAATGGCTGTATAGTAATGATCTGCATAAATTAACACAGCTAAATTGGAACTCATTTCAAATGAATTACATTGTGCCAAACCTTTTGATGCATGGTAAACATGCTCGCTCTCTTATTTACTGGTAGATATTAACTTGCATCTTTTTTTTAATTTAATTACTTCATTTCTACAACGACAGAGACATGCACAACATTGCACCTAATTTATATGAAGGCTATTGCTTCATGAACCAATTCATTTTTTATGTAATCTAATCCTGAGTGAGCAGATGTGGTCTGAAGTAATACAAGTCACAGGCCGGGCTGACAGTTAAAAAAAAAAAAAAAAAAAGACTAAATTGCTTTTATATCTTGGAATATTTAAATGTTGCTAGGCAACTGTCACAACTCAACATCTGGTAATATGGGGAGTTTTGAGATAAAAACGCTTTCATGATCAAGTTTAGCTTAGTTAGTATTTTCAAAACAACATGTTAATATTTTGAGAGAATTTTCAGGCAGAAAAATTATATTACGCGAGAATATTGATTCGACATGTCTGAATAGTGGCTATTTTCTCAATGCGCACATGAAGCTCAGAAATCTCAGAATTCCATGTTTTATTGCATGTGATCAGAACTTCTGTAATGAAATATGCAACGATCCATGTCCAAGGGTCTTTGAAAACAGTGAGCATGACTCACCCTAAATGTGTACATGTGCACATTAGCTGAAAATGGCGTCCAAACGCCTGCATAGAATATTCCCGTAAAAGAAAAAAACCTCTGTAATCTGGCAGCTTTGTTTCCCCATCTGAAACACGGAGATTATAGATGTCTCACATTGCTGTAATTCCAGTTGATTCTCAGGACGTGAACAAAGCGTCCACACCTGTCTTCCCCGGCTCCATTCAGCACGGAAACAGCTGTGGTGGCCCATACAACCTCCAAACGCACCGCGAGTGATTGCGGTATTCACATATGATGATACTAACACGGGATAATAGATACGTGTGTGTGTGTGTGTGTGTGTGTGAGCGGAGAGAAAGCATTAACTCACCATATCGATGGAGGACACAGGCCCGATGCTGTTGACATATATGCCCACATCGATGACTGTGGGTTTCACTGCAAGAGGCAGAAGGGAAGAAGAGTGAGTGATGGTAACGGCACGTGTTGCAGGTGGGACATTTATTCGCGCAATCGTTCCATCTTATTTGTCATTTGTCTGTGTTTTCCTGCCGTTATGTGTGTACACAGACAAAAATCAAATCAATAATCAAGTTTAAAAACAATGGTTATCATTCAATGTAGCCTTCAGCAATATAAAGGCTTCCTTTAAAATCAGTTTCCTGGAGCTGCTACCGTGTTACCATGGCACTTAATTGCATTTCCATTGAGAATGAAGGATCTTGGCTAATTTTGCTTGGCAACAACATTTGATTCCAGGAAGAAAAGAAATAATGACAAAAACAGAAATGTGTTCAGTGTGTTTCCCCATCCAACGTGTGTTTGGACGTTCACTCAACATTATTTTCTCAGAATACACATGATTTATCCGGCATACCAGGTCTAGTGGACTCGTGACATTTAATTATTCTGGCTATAAGATGGGGTTTTTTTCTCACTGCTTCTTCTAAATCTAATGAGTCACCCGACCACCCACAACCCCGTCTACAGGGGGTGGTTAACACGACGGGGGGAGGGGGAGGGGGGGCTCCATGTCAACAACCTTTTGGGATCATTTTTAGCTAAATATTAATAAACGAACATGCATTTAATCACTCTGGTGAGCTCTTAATGCTGCAGCAGTTTGTGCAATAAACCAAACAAAGGTAAATTTGTTTCATGACATCATTGGATCCATCAACTCTTGACCCGACATGTCGCGGTAGCCGTGCTGCAGGTATTCACTCTGGTAATGCCGTACACTCTGGGCACACAAATACCCGGCTCTCCTCTGAAGTGCTATTGAACACAACAATGGGTTACAGCCTATAGAACGAGTTCAAGTGCGCGAGCACTATGAGAGCTGTCGGGCATCCAACCCTGGGAGCTAGTTTTTTGTCTTCATTGCAGGAGTGTGACCTGCGGATCGACGGCGCCCGCCGTCTGCGGCCTGGCTGTGTTCTAGCGTGCAGAAGGTTAGACGTTTTGCTACGAAGCGCCGCGTTGTAAAAAACTCACTGCGGGACGTTGTTCCGTAAGCGGTGGAGTCAAGAAAAAGAAGAATAAAGTTCCCCCAATGGTGCAGAGCTTTATGCACACGTGATATTTTACCAATCCACTCGCAGCCCTTCTCGTGCTTTACTTAAAGAGTGGGGAAACCTTCCTTTGCCTCTTTTATCCGCACAATTAAATGATTACAAAAGTTGTTGCTGCCTTTTTCCTCGTTAATAATCCTTCCCTTCAGAAAGAAGCTTAACTTCTGACCAAAATTACCAGTCACCAGGCATCTGTTTAGTTACCTACAGAGAGCAGCACTACCGACGGAGAGCTAAAAAACGATGTGACAATGTTTGTGACAAACCTCCTTAATGAATCCATGGCTCGTGTTACCCCCATTCAACGGTTCTTTATGGTTCACCTTTATCGAACACATTTGACTAAATAGTTAAAGTGTCTTCCCAGTCGTGTGCTTCTGTGATGTTGATGTGAAAAGCAGACTTGAGGTGCGCGCGGGGGTGTGCAGGTCTGCGTGTTATGTCTCCAGGGTCCTGCTGTGCTGGGCCACTGATGCAAGAAGTTTGGTTTGGTGACGGCCTGCTGGGAGGCTTTGACTCGATTCCAGCAGCATGTTCTGCTCCGCCAACTGGACAATGAGAGACAACAATGTGATGCACCTCTGAAATGATTACTATTATTGTTGTTTGTCCACTGCCTCATAGTAAGCTTACAGGTATGTTGTCTGGGGATCTTTACTTACAAATATGTCTCCAACATCCATTTGCATCAGTGCCACACTGATAATGTGTGGCCATCAGCAATGACAGAAAAATAACCCGGTGTTCACTGATGCCAGACCACATTCATGTTGTTCATTCATCCAGATGTCCATTGCTGGAATTACCATTCAATTTGCAAGTATTTTTGAGTATTTCTGTTCATTTCTGCTATTAATCATTTTGAAGTAACAGCAGTGTTTCCTGCTGGCGTCCGTCTGGTCACTTGACAGCATCTCCAACCCTCTTTTAATTACTATCTGGCACACTTACGGCATGGGCATCGGGCCCAAAGTCCAGCTAAGAATCAAATCTTCACTGTCCATTTGGGGAAATCTGGCATTGGTGGCGCGCAGGACAATACCTAATCACTGTCATTGTTCCTTGAGGGTAATTGGGAACCACTATTTTAGCATGCGGCGGGGAAACCCCTGCACACACTGCCAGTCTCAGACCGAGACAAACGACATTCACACATTTGGGCCATGCAGACGTGTCCAACTAATATAAAGGTCTTTGCATTACAGGGCTGAAACCCCCCCCTGGGGGGAACCTGGTGTCCCTGCACAGTGTCCCTCCTTTGGGACTCATTTGCAGAGGAAACGGAGATAGTGTAAAGACCAGCGAAGCGGAAGCATGGGCTGGAAAGCTGATCTGCTGCAGCTTAGCAGCACCATTTGGCAACTAGGACAACCCGAGGGTAATCATCCTCAATTTACACCACGTGGATAATTAAGGTGGAGAAGGACGGACTGAACATGCGTACGGGTTGTTTTAACCAGTCAGCGCTACTGATTTACAGCGATACTTCACATTCATTTTCCCGCTATACTAAGAAAAAATGGAAACAGCTAACCTGACGTCCAAATAGCACATGGCAGATTCACGTGGGATGGTGCATAGGTAATGATGCTGCCGCTGTAAAAGTGAATATTGAGGACAGATTTGCCCTTCTTCTGCACAGTTTATTTCATTCTTTCTTTCGTTATGGGAGCTTGTTTTTGCTATCCTTCATCTGGTGAAAGAGGAAAATTAAGTTTAAAACCACGTCTAACCAACACAGGGAGAAACTTAAAAACGTCTTCCCACTTATCAACCCATCTATCAACCTTATTTTGCACTTCTAATGTAGAAAACACCATGCAGTCTTGTGACCACATGAGTCCTTCCTCCTTCTCTTTGTGTTGCTCACCTTCCTCCTCCTCCTCGTCCTGCTTTACAGAAGGGGATGACCGGCCCCATCTGTATTACCACATTACCCTGTGGACCTCGATTAAGAAGAAAGGGCTTTTATGCCCGCATGGCTCGGCTGGCATGACGAATGCATTACCCAGTGTTAGCCCCAGTGTGCGTGCGCACACACACCTGCACGCACACGCACACACACAGCCGTCCCAGCTGACCGTTTAACACCCATATGTTCAGTGTCCTAGGAGCACTGTGCAGGGAGCGCTGCCTCAGTGGGCTGTCAGATTCCATCCCAAGGGTTATCATCTTCAGTCTCACTTTGGAATGTGCTGCAAAGTAACTCATCACGTCCCGTTTACCAAAGGTTACACACAGCACTGAAGCTATAGCTTGATATACTGAAATAAAGCTATTATCCTCAGGTGGCTCGGATTGAAGAACATTGTGAGACAACGCCGTCCAATAAGTGCACTTATTCTAAATTGCATTAAGGGGAGTGTCTGTTTTTTAGCCTCTGTTACATCACTTATATACCCTGAAACCAAAATGAAAACAATTGTAATTTGCTCACAACCAGATCCTCAACGTAACCTGACATAGAAATGCTTATTAGCTTCGGATGCTGTTGCTATGGAAACAAAGTCTGCCTGAAACGTGAATCAGAGCAATAGTGGATTCAAAATGATTTGTGAACAAAACATGTTGCTGAATAGCTTTAAAATGAACCCAAAATCAAGAAGAGAATTGTATCCAGAAACCTTGTCAGATCACTTTCCTGTTGGAAGTTCATTTGGATTATTCCTGTTAAATAAATACAACCTGCACAGCCTCTATTCACTTCCGCCTCGAAGTCACAGTTATGGGTCGTATAGTTCAATTCCTTTATGGATCCACAACCAATGTCGTCCACACGTAACAAATCACTCCATACTCTGCTGCACAAGCCGATCCACCGAAAACACCATCATCAACACCATGTTTCCGTTTGGAACAAGTGATGCTTGTTGCTGAGTGAAGGTGCACAAAGCAGTTGCGGGTCAGTGTTTGTACCACAACCACTAGTCCCGTCAAATAGGCAACTATGCAAATCCAAGTTAGAATTTTTTTTTAAAGTCAGAAATGCAACATTTTGTTAGGTAATGTGCTTAAATGCACAGTGTTTGACGATAACTTCCTCATACCTCATAAGCTCATAAACAGTGAGCTTAGCTTAGCTAAAGAAAAACTAGATCAAACCCCAGTAACTCACTAATCTTATTTTTTCATTCTTACCATCAAATAACTAGTCTCAACAACTGTATGTCAGATCAAGTTGTTCACACAAGGGAGGACGCCATGTGCGTGTCCTTTTCAGAACACAGTAGTAGTGTTGTAATTTGCAGCCAGTTTCGTGTATTTAATATGGACTGGCAGCAGGAATATTTGTGTCAGACCCCCTAACACTAATCACAAGGACGGGCAGCCTTTCTTAGAGATCCTCTAAAATCCCTCCTGGCATTGCAGTGTGACTGAAACAAACAAAACAAAATCTCCCTGATTTTGGTCTCTCCTTTCCTCAAAATTAAAAGAATGGTCTTAAAATTGTCAATAAGTGATTTAAGTTGTTCTGTTTGATATGGGCATACAAGACGAACAAGGATTAGACCAAGTGGCTACAATATAGAAATACATCAACATGAATTTGGCATTAAAAAGGCAATCAGCAAGAGCGCTGAAGCCAATAATTATCAACCATAAGAAGGAAAAGGGGAGGTTGTGCGTGGAGCTTCGCTTATGGAAGAAAACTTAATTCTGAAGATCTCTCTGGGCCCAAACTTCAGCTCCTCGGTTTGCAGTCTTCCCAAGTCACGCAAACAGGCTGCGAGGGCTGAATATCAGATGACGTGGTAAAAATACCACACGTGGAAGAGCGCTCGTGTGTTAACCTGAACTGCGCCGCAGCGCACGTTGTGCGGCCGCGGGTTCAACTCCACCAACGGCGCTATTTCTGTCTCAAAG